AAGCCAGTATAGGAGCTGCTCATTCCTGCCCAAGACAATCAGGGACTGGAACCATCTTTCAAAAGGAACAGTTGAGGCGACAACACTAGACACATTTGTGTCTATTGCCTCAAGCCTTCAAACCCCTAGTGCATAATTTCCTCATCACCACCAGTAACAGAAACATTGCAAATCCCATCTACATGCATAGGAGCCAAAATGATCAATAAATTGATCGTGGGCCCTTCAGATATAGAAGAAGAAGAAGAGAAATCTGATTAAGTGTCAGGACGGGTGCTCTGAATTTATTTATTTTTTAGGGGTGGGTTAACCCGGGGGGGGGGGGTGGCTGACCTACATATGTTTTTAATGACTTGACTCGTTGAGTTATTAAAATAGAATAATTGTAATAAGAAGCCACTGAAGTCAACCCCTGTGTACAATAAACAGTGTGACTGCAGCATAAGCTGAAAACCAGTTGATACATTTTCATGTGCGTTAGGGTTGTGGGTCAAGGTTGTGGGTCAGGGTTGTGGGATAGGGTTGTGGGATAGGGTTGTGGGATAGGGTTTTGGGTTAGGGTTGTGGGTTAGGGTTGTGGATTAGGGGTGTGGGATAGGGTTGTGGATTAGGGTTGTGGATTAGGGTTGTGGATTAGGGTTGTGGGGTGGGGTTGTGGGGTAGGGTTGTGGGGTAGGGTTGTGGGATAGGGTTGTGGTATAGGGTTGTGGGGTGGGGTAGGGTTGTGGGGTAGGGTTGTGGCGTAGGGTTGTGGCGTAGGGTTGTGGGGTAGGTTTAGGGCTATGGATGCAGTAGTCATAAGGTGTGTTGGGAAGTGGATCATCGTGGGAATATCTCATGGAGGGATCACAATGGGATCATTGTGGGAGCACCATGGAGTTACTGTGGGTTCGTGATGAGATCATTGTGGGAGCACCATGGAGTTACTGTGGGTTCGTGATGGGATCGTTGTGTGTTCATTGTTAATCAAGATTTGGGTTGTGCGGTGTCATTTTTGGATAATATTGTTGACCTTTAAATCTATAACGTTCAATATTGTATAACATAAATTCTCGCTGTGCATAGCGGCCATGAAACGCTAGCCGGCAACAAAAGGGAAGGGCGCCATCTTCAGAGGGTTCCAAAATCGTCATTTTTGGTGCAAAAATGTGTAATGGTTTATACTTTTTTTAGAGTGGGGGGGGGGGGGCTTCTAAATTCAGGCTATGCCCCGGTCTCAGCTTTTGCCTGAAACGGTTCACGCTAGAGTAACTCAGTTGTTGAACGGTCTCATAGTGTTATACCTAATGGGATTCACATTCGTTCCAAGATGGAGAACGAACTACCTCGCTCTATCCGTGTAGTGCCAGAAGGTCATAGCTACTGGGTGCTCAACCTACAGCTTTCAGTTGACCTATGTGAACGATCTATCGACAGTGTACGCCATGAATCAACATCTTAGACATCTACTAGTGAAATGGGCCTTCTTTTTTTTAGTTTACCTATATAAATTTTGACCTAGTACCAGGTTTTCGGCGTACAATTACAACGTAGCACAATTTACCTGTCAAGATTGGGTACCCCGTAAGTATCTTAGACTTTGTGCACACGTTACGTTGACTTAACCGCTCAGTTTTTAACTACTCTGATATTTTACGGTTTCATACTAAAATTTCAAATGCTTTAGGGCATTTGTTTCCAACTCACTCCAACCCCCTTAAAAAAATAAATTATAACAATAAAATTAATACAATTGCAGAATTTAAAAACTATTAAATGACCCGCTAATTTATCAAATAAAAAATATACGAATAAAACACGATGTTTGAACTGGTTACCGGAAATTTGATCGAAAGAAATTTCGTCGACGGTAAATTGATCGACGGAAATTTGATCGAACGGAAATTTGATCGAACGGAAATTTGGTCGAATCTTTTTTTCGGTTCACACGTTGAAATTTTCGTCAAATTTCTATTTGAACGCATTATACTATATAGTAAAACAAAATAATGTGTTCAAAAAGAAATTTGAAGCGAAATTTTAACGTAAAAACAGAAAAAAAGTTTCGACCAAATTTCCGTTCGATCAAATTACCGTCGATCAATTTACCGTCGACGAAATTTCTTTCGATCAAATTTCCGGATACGGTTTGAACTCGGAAGTATTCAAATTTGATTCATTGTTTGTTTTTTGTTTTTTTTTTTGGACTTTTTAATACTTTTTAAGAGACTCTTCCAATATTATATACATCCGGTGCTCAGACGGGGCATGGCGCCAAAAACAAATGTTAAAAATGCTGAAGTCAAATTTCGTTCCCTTGTGTAAAAATGAAATCCAGGTACTCATATTATCTTCTGAAGTGCTTAAGCAGTGGCGTAGCTAGGGGGTTGCACCATGAGTTTACCGCACCGGGTGACACCATCCCTAGGTACGCCACTGACGAGGGTCAGACGATTTGGAACAAATTACAATGTACACGTTAAAGAGATTGTGGGATTCTCCTACCACACTGAAAATATTATTTAAGGAGTACATAAATAACACTATTCATTCATACTGAAGAATATGACAAGTATCCTGACAGTCCGGGGCTCAAATCCAAGCAAAATCTACACAGCAGTTAGCTCACCTTTATGATGAACAAGTTCACTGTGGGCTAAGTTGTGATCAAAGAATTTGAGACGAAGTAAAGATTTTACTGTATGTTGAGAACCTTTATTAAAATAGTTTCTTGCATCATAGCTAGAACATTGATGACAACGATGAAACATGCTTATGATTACATCTTTATTTTCCTTGCAAAAACAGCAACCATTGAACAGTACAATGGTGCCATACAATGGGACATGTTTTATTTTTATCTTCGGCCAAACGTGTATGTTAACATTAGTCCAGATTGGCTAAGCTAGTGTTGTTATGGCGCACTGCAGCATTGCCCCAGATACCTGGAGAACACAGAGTGTTGTTAGAACTGTTAGATATAAAGATAGTATTAAGATATTATCATGCAATTAAAAAAAAACTGTATAGTTTTGTGTTTGCTCTATCGCCCAGAAGTCTGAAACCAGAGCTTGAATTACAACATAGCCATTAAAGTAATAAAATTGAGTATTCTGGAAAATATTAAATGAAATTTCAATTGATTAAGGTAAAAAAGGTATTAATTCGCGAACTTCTGTTCGCCGGCGATGCTGCCTTAGCATCGCACACAGAAGAAGGTCTTCGTCTGGTATTTAATCGTCTTGTAAAGAGTTTGGACTGTCAATTAGTCTACAGAAAACATGTTATGATGCAAGAAGCACCGCCCCCCCCCCTCCTATCATATCTATTGAGAGCCATTATCTGTCGGTTTTTGAGCATGGATCCAACATTTAAAGTTCTCTCAAAGAGGTTAACATTAGGATCAGAAAAGCAGCAGCAATTATGGCTAATCTGAATAAGTGGGTGTACAATAATCTCAATATAACTGATAAGACAAAACTAAGAGTCTATCAGCTTCCATCCATGATGTCTGTGTCGCATTTTACGCATTCGATGGTAGGACATGGTGCCCAGCACGGAGGTCTTGGAACGTGTAAAAGTGTGTAGCATATGCTCCGCCTTCGCTGGTTATGCCATGTAAGGAGAATGGAGGAAGGCCGTATTCCAAAGAAGCTGCTGTATGGAGAGTTGGCAGAAGGAACAAGACTTATTGGAAGGACACGCCAGAGATTTATGGACGCTTGCAAAAGGAGCATGAAGGAAGTCAACATTGAAATCAACGAATGGGAGATCATTGTTGAACAACATTCCAGCTGGCGAACAGCAATGTATGAAGGAGTCAAAAACGCAGAAGATGAGCGAAACGAAGCCCTCGCAAAAAAAAAGAACATTGCGGACGGCAAAATCTAACCAGGAGTCTATATTGTCTTGTGAGAAATGCAGTCGAGAGTGTCATTCCAGGATTGGCCTAGAGAGCCATTTGTTGAAGTGTACATAGCTAGTCCATCGTCTCGTAAAGAGGGAAGGATGACATATTATTAAATAATATAATATATTAAAATATAACATGATATAATCATAACATCAACTATTTACAAATAAGCAACGACCATTATAAAACTTGTAGGAAATGAGTCAAACAAAGTAAAGGTCAAACCTGAACAAAAGGAATGCAACAAAACACATTTTGTGGAGAAGGAAAAAAAATGAGGGGGGGGGGGGTATCAAGTTCCAATTGATGTTAAAAATATGTAATCATCTAATTGGTTTAAATTGAGCTGATCGTTTTAACTGTCGAATACACTTTCAATCTTTCTCCACGCTTAGCCGACGATAAAGAACGTGGCACACTTGTCTCGTGCTGGCTTTCAAGAAATCTGGACAACTTGTATCGTGCTGGCATTCAAGGAATCTAGCCAACTTGTCTCCAGGCGCTGTGCCCTGTTGTCCAGTTTTTGCACTGGTTGTCACTCTCGATCAGCATTTTCTTTACTGGAGATTGTCTTTACCCACAAGATTTTACAGCCCTTTTGTGGGGATGTGGCCCCGGGAAACTTCCGCTCTGTTAATCTAGAGGCCTCCATCATTCTCTCCATAATACAGGAGAACCTTCAAGACACATTTCAAAATTCTGATCTTGGCGTGTATGTTCAGGTTGGTTGATCTTCCTTATAAAAGTCAACATTCCAAAATTCCTGATTTCCCTTGATGACCCTTGCGTTCATTTCCTTTTAACAGTCCCAGTTAGTTGTTACCTGGCTACCTAGATACTAAAACCGCTGCCGAATAAGACAGCTAATCATGTGGCGATCAAGAAATCCAAACCACGCCAGGGTGATATTCAACAATCTAATCTAACTGTACAACCGCTGTTAAAGAAGCCATCCATCCTAACATTCTAAAATCATTTTTAAACATATTTAATTTATTTCCCAGCCATTTCTTCGTTGTTTGTTTTTTTTTTTCTTGCATGAGGGAAAGTTGTTTTTGGATAAGCTTGCAAAATCAACAAACGACGGAATTCGAAATTTAAATGTAGTTACTTGGCAATTTCCGAACGAGTGCAGCTAAACTGGGTCCGATAGCAAAGAGACACCAAGACAAGTCATGTTTTTTCAGACACAGTAAGTAATCCAAAGACCTCAAGTGGCAATTACTCAAATATACAGACAACCAATCAAAGACACCGTAACCCGACACATAAGACACACCCTCTGACTTACTTAACCAATCAGATCTAACCCTGTAGTCCTCCTCTCTCATATATGATGGACGCGACCTGGGTACAAATAGTGGACGGTTGAAAGGTGCATACAGTGGCCCGGGGCTATTGCTGGTTGAAGGGAGAAAAAAAACAATGCACAGGATAGTGAATGGAGTAGAGGTTTTCTCAGTAAAAGGGAAATCGTCTATAGACACACGGCAAACTGACAGACCGTCAACTGACTGGCCGCTACCAGACAGATGTCTAGCTGGCAGACGTCTGACATTATATTATCTTATAAGCCAATTTTTAATTATTTTTATTTTAAATATATCTTCAAATTAAAATAAGAGATTATAAAATAGTGGAAAAGATGATTGGAAACTCGATGATAATTTCGTGGGATTTAAGGCAAAACGTTTTATTGGATCCATTCAATTTTAAATAGTAAATCTACATCATGCGACTTGTGTTTGATTGCGCTACCCCCTGGAAGTGACGTGTATCTCCGGAATAGCGCTTTGTCATTTCATCCGCCCTTAGCACACACAGTGTCCTTTGAACAACGTGTGAAGATAGCTTCACTGAACTACCTTTACCGACACACGGTGTCCTTTGAACAACGTGTGAAGATAGCTTCACTGAACTACCATTACCGAAACCTAGTGTCCTTTGAACAACATGTAAAGGTAGCTTCACTGAACTACCATTACCGAAACCTAGTGTCCTTTGAACAACATGTGAAGATAGCTTCACTGAACTAACATTGCCGAAACCTAGTGTCCTTTGAACAACATGTGAAGATAGCTTCACTGAACTACCATTACCGACACACGGTGTCCTTTGAACAACATGTGAAGATAGCTTCACTGAACTACCATTACCGACACACGGTGTCCTTTGAACAACATGTGAAGATAGCTTCACTGAACTACCATTACCGACACACGGTGTCCTTTGAACAACATGTGAAGATAGCTTCACTGAACTACCATTACCGACACACGGTGTCCTTTGAACAACATGTGAAGATAGCTTCACTGAACTACCATTACCGACACACGGTGTCCTTTGAACAACATGTGAAGATAGCTTCACTGAACTACCATTACCGAAACCTAGTGTCCTTTGAACAACATGTGAAGATAGCTTCACTGAACTATGATTACCGACACACGGTGTCCTTTGAACAACATGTGAAGATAGCTTCACTGAACTACCATTACCGACACACGTGTCCTTTGAACAACATGTGAAGATAGCTTCACTGAACTACCATTACCGACACACGTGTCCTTTGAACAACATGTGAAGATAGCTTCACTGAACTACCATTACCGATAGTTTCATCTGCTTTTAGCAAAACGAGTATAATCTCTGGAGCGTATTCTCTGGACCTCTAAGAATAGGAAATAAAATGAATGTATTTTTGCAGTGTTAATATGTTTGTTTCAAATTAGCACTTTTTTTTATAATGTCGACATGTCCAACCAGCTGTCTTTTAAAGTGTTGATAAGTCTGTATCGAACCAACTGACGATATAAATGTATCCTACAATTCATTTTAAGGGAGTTTTCTAAGGCAGATATTGAGAAGGCGTAGAGCCCCCTCTTCTTTTCTATAGAATAAGACTGCAGGCGTATCCCAGAAACCTTTTAGATCAGAGGTTCTCAACCTTCCTAATGCCGCGACCCTTTAATACAGTTCCTCAGGTTGTGGCGACCCCCAACCACAATTTTTTTTTGTTGCTACTTCATAACTGTAGAGTATAATAATATGTTTTTCCGATGGTCTTAGGCGACCCCTGGAAAAGGGTCATTCGACCCCCCCCCAAAGGGGTCGCGACCCACAGGTTGAGAACCACTGTTTTAGATGATGATCGCCCATGTAGAAATTTTGTATTAAAAAATTCATCCAAATACTTTTTTATGTTAAAAAAAAGTATACAGTGCAACGATATATACTAAACTTCAATATTACCTGCTGGTGTGGGAAGTCATCGTGTTCGACCATCTAGGAAGGGTTAATTCAAAGGCACTAGTGTAGATACAAACTAAACGTCCATTCTTTAACACGTTTTTCTAAACTTTAATCTGAGTCAGTCTTGTAGCAAAACTTTTGTCTTTTCTATACTTAATTTGCTGTAGTTCTTTTTATAGCATAATTTGATTATTTTCTATGTTGTCAAATCAAGAACTACTGCAATGACCAATGAGTTTATATAAAATGAATATTAATCAATATTTTCACAGGGATTCTGAGGGATCTCAACCGTTAAAACAATATTACCAAGCCTACACTACTACCGTGAAATATTTCAATTTGCGTATTTTTTTTTATCCCAAGCCACTTTAAAAAACAACAAACAAACAAAAATCGTAATAGACTATAGGCCTATAGGAGCCGTTGGACTTGTATGTCTGGCTTTGATTCTAAGACTTCGTGAGTTTATCACAGAGTCAGAAATTCACATAAGGACCAGGCTACAGGTTGATACTTACAACATGGTGGCTCTCTGGAAGTCGTACAAGTTCGGATAATGATGCTCCATGTCCGAGGCCATGAAGTAAGGACTGTCTATGAGATCAGGATTTCGTGCGGCTAAACATCTGTTGTATGTTTGATTAAAGTAAGACATTCTTGTTGGGTTATTTAACCGATAATCCTGTAGATACAATAAAAAAAAATATATTTTAAAACGTGACGAACTGATGTTTTCGTCGGATGTGATGGCAGAGGCCTCCCCAAGGTTGGTGTCATCCGGTGCAGCCAGCAGTCCTTAGGGACGCCATGAATGTGATGCTCTCAGAATAATATTAATATATAATAGACGTACTTATTTATTTGCGGAAGTTATATTTTAAGAAAATTAGGCTTTAACAAAATTAGATTTAAAACAACAACAAATGATTTTGTAAATGCCTTAGCCCAGATCACCTGCTTTTTCCGTGTTTAATTGCAATGGGGCAACTGTTATCAAAATGCCGTAAAATAGGTGGCAGCGATTGAGACAAAACACAATACAGAAGGAGCTAACTTACACTTGGTACTTAGCACCTTATTGTCAAAAAACAACAATGATTTTCCCGATAATTCTTCACTTTAGTTTATATTGAAAATGAAATTTTTTGAAAAGTTTGAATAGTTTTATATTTATTATCATTCTAAAACTTTTTTCGGGTCTGTGATACCTAGAAAAAGAACATTGATTAAACTGCAATAATTTTGTATTTCTTTTCTCAAAAAAAAAAAAACAAAAACAAAAAAAAACAAAAAAACACAACAACAAAAAACCAACAAATTTGCGTAGGCGAATAGATTTAAGGAGAGATAACTGTGCAACCTTAAATTCAGTCACTGGTAGACATTTGGTGGCCTCTCTTATTTATTATAATTAAAAAATTTGTTAATGCCTGTCGATCCTGAATTTAATTAAAAATGTAATCTTTTCCAATAAATTCAAATTAAAGAAATCAGGATTAAGGAAATAAATGGTAAGGTTTGTCACAAAAGCCATAACTTAAAAAAGAAACAACCTTTTTTGGTCCAGAGAGTAACAAAGTCATCTTCTTTTTTGCTATGATCTATTTCCGGTTTGTCGATTAATGTCCAAAACATTACAGATTTCAGGTGTCTGTGAGTCACTTGACGTTTATATATTTAATGGTTATAAATATACTTGAGATAACACAGCGGATTTACAAATATTCTTTTAAAGAATAATATACATTCATCGTTAGAATGGGAGGAACTTCTACTTTCAACCGTTATCTTGGTAAGTTGTGTTGTAATATTTAAAAATTTTAATAATTATTTTTTGATAGAACTACTTAGCTTGAAATATAAATATTAGCAGTTTCATGATAATCACACTTAATTATAATCATTCTTAATGTTTCGTTGTTTGTTGACGGATACATTTTATGTAGAATGTAGACTAATCATTAAGCTGAACCTAGCCGGTCCTAGCCTAGGCCTAGTACTATACTAAGATTGTAGTAGTTGACACAAAGTCTGAAAAATAAATAAGCCTACTACTAGTCACTACTAGTTTTAAAATTTTAAGTAGTGACTGTACACTCTACTGAACTGTACTCATGGTAAAACTCTGATATAGCGTCGGTAATTAATAACATTAAAATAGACCCTAAACAGCTTTTATAACATGAAAATACACCCAACGAAGCTGTAGTTGACACAGTTTCAAGTTTATTTTAAAGCACTGTTCTACTCTGAACCACAACAGACTGTCTAATAACGGATAGTTATCGACAAGTGTAATCAGGAAGTTCGGAAACATGTCTGTGCACCGAAACTGGTTACGATAGGCAAATTCTTGCAGATATGACTGAAACAATCCACGACTAGTTCCTAATTGTCTTATCAACTTCCACTTTGCTCTCATCTACATGTTTTAATTGTTCTGGGTATGCACTTCGCTGTCATCAGGATCCACGAAATTATGTTCATGAAAACAACAGAATGCTCCTATATTCCGTGTCCGATTCGATCTATGTGTGCATATGCAGCCCAACCATCGGAAACAATGTGTGTCCCTGGCAAGATGTGAGCGTATATAGAGTCTTGTAGCATGTCTGCGCACCTGTATGACACTTCCAAGAAGAAGCACTTGCCACTTCCATGCTCGATCCCACCGAAGACCCATGGCCATCCCGCCACTGACCACGATGATATTTCCTGTGGAAATATTTCATTTCATCTATCTCCACAATTATAGGTTCTCCATTTACGTCTATTCCACCAATTTTGGTCGCATTACATTCCAGCCAAGTTCCACACTCCTCTCACATGTAGTTGAAGTTGCACCAATCAATTACAAGTTTTTCGGCAACGGCTGCCTCGTGCTTTATCTGCATCTGTGGCATATCGTACAACCATCAATACACCATGGTGACAATTAACTGTAATGATAACTGACTGCATGAAAAGAAAGAATTGTGTGGTACAGATAGGCAGTACCTGTCAACTCCTACACTCTTCTTGGATTGATTACATTCGTCGGTTCTTTCATACGTTGAAGCGTCGTACTATTCTCACTATCAATTAACAAACTCAACTCCTTTTCATAATAACTATAACTTTAATATCTAAGTAAATATAATAAACATCCTATCACTCCAAGGTTCCACTCAAGACTGCCGCACGACTAAAACATACGTCACAACACTGCATAGACAATACGTCACGACTCAGCATAAAAATACGTCATAAATACAATGGCGGGAAGAGCGTTCACTAACTATAATAGTCAAGCGCGGGAAAAGCGTTCAACAACTAATGAACATAATATTGAGTCGCAACAATTCCTAATGAACGCTCATACTCGACATATCCCCCCTCTTTCATTTCAGATTTTACTCAGGGAGTGAAATCGTCACCAGACATACAAAATTTACATCAATTACATCAAGAAGAACCCTTCAGCCATATGAATGGTCCTTATCAAAAAACATTATTTAGGTATCACTGAAAATCAAACAGATTTATGATATACAGCAATAAAATAAACAATCCTTCGTACATAATTTTAAATGGAATTCAAGAGTTAAAAATTCATGTACGACAATAAAAATCAGACCATTGTAATTGAATGTCAACATTAATTTTCATTTTTCATACCAATAAAAATAATTATATTTTTATCTCAAAAATCAGGGCAAACACATCAATATCCTTACTGAATTTGAAACTATAACTAAGTTAATCCAAATCATATTATAAAGAAGGTGTATTTTTAAACAAAACCAAAGGCCATCACTATAAAAACACAAAACTATTTAACATTATTACAGGTGAGAGATGCCTCACCACAATTTGAGCAGCCTTTATTTGCTCTTAAATAGCACAGCTACAGATGGCGGGACATATCTTTTGTCCATGGATTTCACAACTTTATGCTTCAACATGTTCATTATAATTAGAATTATCTCTCCCTGTTCTTTTGACCCGTGGTCATAACTCATGTGAAACCTCAGTTTTACAATACATATTTTTAAATTGTTACAAAATGAAAAAGTCTCATAAAAAATAAATTCAAACAAATCAGGAAATTCAAAGCAATCATGGCAATAGTTCATTTTAACAGATTCATTTTTTTTAACAATACAAATAAAAGCCTCACCTCCCAACTCATGGACCTGACAACTCACCTCCTCTTGAAAATCAGAAACAAGTGCACCTTTAGAGCTGGCAGCGCTCTCTTTAACACTTTCAACATTGGTTTCCAACTTAATGTTAGAGCACTCCTGGCTCTCAAAATCTGGACAACCTTCACTTACATTACTTGGCAATTTATTTTCATTAAAACTATCTTTAACAATATGTACATTTAAGCAGCCCTGGCTCACATTTACAGGTGATTCATCATCATTACAGCTATCCGTAACAATATGAAAATCTGAGCAACCCTGGCTCACATTTACAGGTGATTCATTATCATTACAACTATCCGTAACAATATGAAAATCTGAGCAGTCCTGGCTCACATTTACAGGTGATTCATTATCATTACAACTATCCGTAACAATATGAAAATCTGAGCAGCCCTGGCTCACATTACCTATTGAATCATTATCATTACAGCTCTCTGTAATACTATACAATTTTGAGCAACCCTTGCTCACAACAACTTGTGATACATTTTCCTTGCAGATCTCTGCAGCAACATCAAAACCTGAGCACACCTGGCTCACATTATCAACTAATTCATAGTCATTACCAGTACATATCTCTGTAAAAATATCAACATTTGAGCAACCTTTGCTCACATTACACAGTGACTCATTTACATCACAATAATTATCAACAACAATTTTCTCTCCTTCCCCCACCTCAGGGATTACACTCACCTCATCAACCCCATACAAAAAATCAGACACTTCAACTTCAGGACTTACATTATCTGATGGCTCACCATGAGATACAACAAAAATCATGTCCTCAGACATTAGAACAGGGTTCTCTTTGCTTTCGGGGCAGCCCGTTTCCATAACCACCAGTTTATTACACACTTTGACGCTGGGACAATCCCCTACATACGTCCACCTAAGGTCATTTCCAATTACTTCCACCTTATTAAATTGTCGTCCCCTTTCTTCTTTACATTGGACTTCCTGGGATACACCAACTACTTCAACCTCGTTTTGACATTCTAAAGCTATATCTGTACCCTTTGCCACTGGGGGTATGTCAACACGGTCAACGTTGTCCCTTTTAACGTTAGCCGACGGATCAGTTAACAAATCACTGTCATTTCCATTAAAAAAAATTGAGTCGCCAGCAGAGGCAATAATATCATTTTGTTCCTCAGTATCTTTAGCCATGAACCGTGGTTGCGAGGCCGGCTCTTGCCTGGGGTCAGGATCATGAGTATGTCCACCGTTATCCACACATTTGTTTTCACTTACATTAATAGAAACTCTATTAAAATTTTTATAGGGATTCTCACAGTGAATGCTGGCAATGCCATAATATATTTCTTCCCCTTGACTCTCGTCATCGTCACTGTCGCTATAATAATATGCCTGTCTATTTAAAATAATTTCCCGTCTTTCTGCCTCTAATTCCGCACGTCTAATTTCTTCATGTAGTTTATTGGGTTTATATTGTCTCTGACTATATCTGGGTTCGTACTGTCTCTGTCTATCTCGGGGTTCGTACTGCCTCGGTCTCGCTGTATGTTCTACATATCTCGGTCTATCTCTAGGTTCGTACTGACTCTGTCTATCTCGAGGTTCGTACTGCCTCGGTCTCACTGTATGTTCTACACATCTCTGTCTATCTCTAGGTTTGTATTGACTCTGTCTATCTCGGGCTTCGTTATACTGTCTCGGTCTGGCTGTATGTTCTACATATCTCTGTCTATCTCTAGGTTCGTATTGACTCTGTCTATCTCGGGGTTCGTACTGTCTCGGTATGGCTGTATGTTCTACATATCTCTGTCTATATTTAGGTTCGTACTGTCTCGGTCTGGCTGTATGTTCTAA